CCGTCCCCCAGGTTGCAGCTCGCGGCCGCTCCTCAGAGCAGACCGGTTGCGGAGCCGCAAGCTCTCGTCTCTGGCCTTGAGAGTCGCTCAGGTGTTGTTCGCGCTCTAGCCAAGTACCAAGACATCAACGTAGGCTTGCGAGACATGACCGGTCGAGATCGCGCAATAGCCATTGCGTGCCCTCCCATACGTGGATCGGGAACACGGGTTCGGGAGAGGTTGAAGTTGCTGGTCATCTTGGTCTGGGGGTTCGCCACGAGGGAGTATGCTCTTGATAGCCTTGAGCGCGGCTGTCTTGCCGATGCCAAAGTGACAAGAATGACTCGAGTTGCGTGTGACTGCTCGCAGCGTCGTCATTCCCTGTAAAGGTCTGCCTTCTCACCGGGGGGTGACGAATTGGTACTTGTCGAACGTGAGGGTCGTAGGCGGAGAAGGATGGCCGAGATCATGTCGGAAATCTGATCGGCGTAGTATACGTGCGTCGCGAGACCACCAATGCACTGTTGAATGCGGTCCAGGAGCTGCATGCGCTGCTCTGTCGTGTCGCCCCCCGCCTGTGGCTGCTCTTCCCTCTCGCTGTCCGTCCTGGGGAGCCCGCTGGGTCCCGGCAGATGCATGAGCCTCTTCATGTGGCGGATGAAGCCGATCAAGACATCCATGACACTGAGGCCGATGAGGTTGATGTCGGATTGCAGTAGAGAGCTGACCATGATGGCCAGCACAATGTGCTGCTGCAGGTTCTCCTCTGTCAGGGGCAACCGCGAGATGTGGTCCATCGTCGTGACCAGGATGATGTATCGATCCTGGACAGGGGCCCAGCGTGCCACCGTCGCCAGAATCTGGATGGCCCAACCACGCTCGCTGCCAGGCTTTTCTCCAGCATCGATGACCGTCTCGTTCTGGGCGACCCTGTCGAGGACGAATTTGAGCAAAGACGACGTTGCGCTGTGGATCTGCGGCTGGTTTGGAACGATGTAAATCTGCTTGAGACACTGGAGGGCCAGAACACCAATGTCCTCCTCGGCGAGCTTGTCGACGTCGAGGGCGGTGCCGACGAGAGCTATGTGGTTCGTGTCGCCGGCCGTGTCGCTCGTCTTGACAGTGGTGACGCTCGTTCTACGGCGCATGGGCTTGTCGGCGTCCGACTTCTCTTCCGACTGCACGCGCGACAGCAGCACATCGAGGAACGTGTCGTCGTTGTGCCAGAGGTTCTCGAGAATGATGGGCACAATGGCGGCAAGCTGCCGTCCGGCGACGGAGGACAGCGGGTCCGAGGAACATACACTCCTGATGGCCTCGAGCCCGACAGTCCTCCATTTCATGACGACGGCCTGGCTCGGTGTGCCCTTGCCTGGTGTCTGGCGGGTCGAGGCGAGGGTCGCGTAGGAGCGGACCACAGACTCGTACTGAGCTAGGTAGCCCTGGTCGGCAAAGGAAGAGGAGACGTCGTGATTCTCGCAGAAGGCCTCAAAGGTGGGGATGGATGACTTGGCCATGGTGATGTCCTTGGACCCCAGGATAAGGTCGAAAATCTTGAGGACATTGCTGGCGAACAGGGGGAGGTCCTTGGGCGACTTTTCGATGAGCGCCGCGAGGATCTGCAGGGTTACCTGTACATTGCTACGCGTCAGAGGTTAGCATGTTGCTCTCTGTGCAAGATGAGTCGATGCAGTTGTTCAGGGTTGCCGGGAAAGGGGCATGTGCCGTACCCGATGCGCAGTCGCCAGACGTCACTGGCCGTCTTCTTCTCGAGGAAGCTCCCGATCTTTTGGATCTTGGACCGGCGCGAGGTGGCATAAAAGAGCAGGTAGCTGAGCTCGCTGGAATTGGGCTTGACATCGACAGCGCCTTTTGTGGTGCGTGGGTAGCATTTGAGCACGAGGACCTGGTGTTTCGGCCGACACTTTTGCGCAATGGCGTTCATGGCGTCGTCGCCGGAGGGCTCGGGGCCTGGGTCGAGGGGCGGCGGGTCGTCGTGCAATTGCGCGTCGTAGACGTTGGTATGGTCGACAGAGTCAGTCGTAGCTTGACAGAAAGCAAGCGAGTAGATGGCGAAGAGGGCGTGTGGTGTCGATGCCTGACTTGACCCTCGACGGGTGGTTGAGGTGGGCGAGCAACGGAGGCAGGGTTCGGACAAAGGTGTCGTCAGAAAGTAGTGTCGAGGTACGGTAATAATAATCAGGGCGAAGCCAGGGTACTGACGTGGGCCCGTTGGCCAAGGTACCTACCTAGGTACCTTAGGTAGGTACCCAAAGTAGGGAGACCACGGCGGCGGAATCAGCCAAGACAGACCCTTGAACGCTGCTGCCCTGT